GGGGCGGGGCGGGGCAAGGTGAGGTGAAGGGCACGAGGGGTGTGAGGGAACCGGGGCCGGCCCCGAGCGGGTGGGCTTGAAGGAGGGGTTGATGGGTGGTGGTTTTCTTTAGGCGCGTGGGCCGTGAAACCCAAAATTATTTTAAAAAAAACCCCACAACCCAAGCCCAAAAATCAGCAGCTGAATGAAAAGTTACCCCAGAGTGTCATTGAGTAATCGCTCAGTGATCAGCATGTGGTGTCTGTCAGGGCTCTTCGGCTCCCGAGTCAGACTTGCCTTATATCCCCTGCTCAGACATCCGCACCTTCCTCCCAAATCCTTATTCAGGGACCAAAATGGGGAGAGGACACGTTTGGGTGCCTGGTTTCCAGTCCAAGATTGGGAAACTATTTGCTATATGTGCCATTTGCACCGTTCTTTCCCTCACAAAACACTTCTGCTGTATTCACGTAGACACGAGCTCAGTTGAGAGCGGCACTTATCAGAAGCGTAAAAAAAGACACTTTGAATTTGTGTTCTTTTCAGCTGCATTCACCACAACTCTCTTCACCTTGATTTTCGATGCTTCCTGGTGTTGGAAGGAGATGCTGACTCCTGGTTTCCCTTGCAGTGGTCAGGTGCCAGCAGTACCCACCGCTCCGTGCTCTCCAGGCCTCGGCCGCGCTGAGGAGAGCCTCCGACGAGCACAGGAAGGAGCCATTGACATCTTCCTCTCAGCAGCATTTTGATTCACCTCCAGCTGGTCACCAGCCTGAACAGGAACCTCAGGGACCTCACCCCAGGTAACTCAGCAGCTCCTTCTAGCACTGCCCCACCGACAGAGGGATCGGAGGACTTTTGCTTTCCTGAACCTCACATCTTAAACTTGAAGACGAAGAGATCCAGAGTTAAGGAGCCCCAAACTGCAGCAGCTGAAGAGCTGGTTTGCTGTGACCGTACAAATTCCGCTATGGAAACAGTATGGTACTTGCTTTCAAGAGGGAAACTCTCGTCTGCAAAGAATAAGTCTTGGCTTCTGGATTTTTGTGTAAATCTAAAAATACAGGGACTATGTATTGTCCATGTGCCTATGTTTAAAAAGGTTATAGTTTAGCTTTCTGTAAGGGAGGGGGAATGTGGAGCTGATTGGTCTCCATGTAGGCATCTCCAGTGAGCCCTCCTTCCCTTATTTTTCTCTTCTCTCACAGCAAAGGTTCATAAAGAATCATTTTTCTGGACAGGGAAAGATATTACTGGAGGAGGCCAGATTTATACTAAGCAGGTCTCAAAATGTGCCTGGTGTCAGCGAGTGAGTGGCAGAGCCCAGGGTTCTGATGTTTGGTGGTGACATTCCCCTCACTGTAACAATACCTTCTCATAGTTACACTGGCCTGGGCGGCCAGGAGTCTGAGGACTATGAGAGCGAGGAGCAGCTGCAGCATCGAATCCTCACAGCGGCGCTGGAGTTTGTGCCTGAACATGGCTGGACTGCAGAGGCCATTGCAGAGGGAGCCAAGGTATGTGGGGAGAGAAGCAACAAACCAGTTGAAAACTGGATGGAGCTGAAGTGCAGAGACAGCCAGGCCTGCATGCTTCCCCCACATACTCTTGGGCGATGCACCCTAGTCAGCAAATGCTACTGGGCAGGAATGAAA